AAATAATTTTATGTTTTGGGTGAATAAAATATCTGCGTAAGTTGCAAAAAAACTTACGGCAGTGCTGTTTCCAAAGATAAGTTCTTTGGTTTTTTTGTTACTTTTTAAACAAAAAGTAATGTGAAAGAAATATTGACTACCAATCGTTAAAATTTTAATTTTATAAGTTGCAACAGGAAATATTTCAAATGTGAATTAAGAAATATACTGTTATTTCATAAATAACTATATTTCTAAACTAATTATTATTTACAAAATAATGATTATTCTCTTTTTATATATTAATTGCAAATTTTATATTTGCTGAAATAATCTAGATAAATATTAATAATAGAATAGCATTCTATTTATTATTTAACGTTGCTCAAGGCTCATTATAAAAATACCAGTAATTAGCAACTTGAGATTCAATTTCTTCTCTAAGTGCTTTTTCAAATTTATTGTCAACATCCATTATTAAAAAGTACCAAAATATAAAGACCTTAAAGTTATATCTATTAGGTTTATTAAAAATACTAATAATCAATATTTTACTTCTGAGCAACGTTAAATAATAAATAGAATGTTATTCTATTATTAATGTTTATTTAGATTCTTTCAGCAAATATACAATTTGCAAATAATATATAGAAAGAAAATAATCATTATTTTGTAAATAATAATTATTTTAGAAATATGGTTATTTATGAAATAACAGTATATTTCTTAATTCACATTTGAAATATCTCCTGTTGCAACTTATAAAATTAAAATTTTAACGATTGGTAGTCAATATTTCTTTCACATTACTTTTTGTTTAAAAAGTAACAAAAAAACCAAAGAACTTATCTTTGGAAACAGCACTGCCGTAAGTTTTTTTGCAACTTACGCAGATATTTTATTCACCCTAAACATAAAATTATTTAACAATATAGGATATTGTGTAATTATAATTTTAACACTATTTGAAACGTTTCTCTCTATGTATAATTCAATTATTGGGTTAGAAGGTATTATAGGTGACAAGTGTAATTCAGTAGAAATATAAATTATTTATCATAAAAGTTTTTTCGAAATAAATCCAAATTATAATTACAGATCAAAAATAAACCATTTTTGAAATAATTAGAACTTTTAACAAAATATTATTTTATGTTATCATTTGAATTTTATGTTAAACAGAATATATTTTACATTTATTGAAACAATTTTAAAATTACCCTTTTTATTACAAATCCTCTGACATTGCAGAAGATTTATTATCTTTACTTTTATTATTATTGATATCGTTTGTATTAATTTTTAATTTATTTTTATTTTTATTTTTATTCTTATTTTTATTTTTAGGTTCACTAATATTATATTCTTCTAACATAAATTTATACTCATATTTAATCTTATCACATTTTAAGGTATATATTATAACATTATTTTTACATTTCTTTACATTAAATTCTTATATATTAAAATCATTATTATTTATAATTAGGTCTATAATAAAACTATTATTTATATTTTTTTTAAACTCTTGATCTTCAAAAGGATTCATATTTTATTGAATTTATTAATTTCTATTAGCTAACCATATATAAGTTTACACGGTTTATTTCTAAATCAGATATTATATTTAGATTAATAATGGGACCAAATTAATACTATTATATGTAAATTTTATATACAGTAAGAATAAAATGAATATTTATATATCATATAGAAAGATAAAAGTATTTTATATAAAAGAACGGATTTATTAATCCTTATAATATTTTTATTTTTTGTTTCTGTTGTTATAGTTTTTATAGCCATATTCAATATCTTTATATAACTTACCGTATATTTTTTTCTTTATTAACAATAACACAAGGTAATTCTGGGTGTTTGAATTTAAAACAGTTTTTTTTTAAAATATTCTTCAACATTTACATATCGTTTTCAACTATTATTGTGATGCTTTTATTATAGGCATATCTATTGAAATCCACTACTACATCATAAACACTTACATATAATCTTGTAATATCATTATCATTTAAAAAATCTTCCATTTTTAATATAAACTGATTATATTCATCATTATAGTCATTTTCCATCATATTGTCATCATAAATATCTTTAATTATTTCGTTATGCTCTATAAAATTTATTTCATACAACTTTTTATTATTATTTTCTGCTAATAGTGTAAATCTATCAGTATTAAGAGAAAGATCACCTAAAAAAAGTTTAAATTCTAATTCAAAAGGCATTTTTATTATTCTTTACTAATAATAATTATTTTTATTTTATTTCAAAATTCAATTTTTTGATCCAGAATCTATTAAATTAGTATATTTGTACGTAAATATATATATTTTGTATTAGATACCTTCATATATCTAGTTAGCTGTACTATTGCTAAGAAATTCATTAAATATATCTTTTGATTTATTCTTATTTCTCCATTTAAATTCATTAAAGTGTTTAATTAAATGTTTCTTACCTCTATATTGTGGTTTTATTTTTCTCTTTATTAGTCCCCACATATTTTCTACATTCTGTGTATGTATAGATTTATCCTTTTTATCTACATAATTCTTAGAATGGTTTATCATTTTATGATTATAGCCTATATTTTTTAAATTATGATAAGATTTAAATGAATCTGTATAAATTATAGATCCAGCTTTTACATTTCTTTGTATAAAATCTTCACAAGTTTTTCTATCTCTTTTATCAACTATCTCTATATGATAATCTTTAATTTTATTATTAGGTGATGTTCTATTAGTTATACCAATAACCCATGTTTGGCCTTTTTGTAATCTGCCTTTATTATATTTTCTTCTAGACATCATTGATTCATCAATTTCACAATAATCACCAAATATTACTTTTTTATTTTCTTTTTGAAATATTTCTCTAAATATATTACTATTATAAGGTTGGTGATTCCTTCAAGGCACGTAAGTAGGTTCGGAGTATAAATAGGCTGGATACGAATTATCCAGGTAAGTAAAAAAGGTTAAGAAGTGTCAAAGGGAAATAGAGTGAGCACCAGTAAGGTTTTGTATAAAAGCCTTACGAAAAATGGGAAAAAGGGTTGAATAAAGGATGAAAAGGTATAAGAGGTTCAAAAGAAGTCACAAAGCAAGAAGTTTGCGAGTTGAGGTTGACGATGTACTTTGACAATGTCAAGAGATGGAGTTGTGCAGACTTGTAGTTTACGGTGGTGTCTTAGTGCAGGACCAACGGAGACAGATACTAGACTTGTTCTTGAGGCTTGGAAATGGTCTTGTAGCGACGTGCAAGCAGTTATAAAAGAAATTGAGTCTATAAGAGATATGACTTTATTGTATAGTCTTTGAGTATAAGATGTCTAATTTATTCTGGCTGGAAAACTTGAGCCTATTTATGTGATTTCTAAAGCTAAGATGGATATTTGATATTTCTAAGTTACGTCTGTTAGGTATACCAAAATGTAGGAGGATAAGAATATGGGGGAGTGTAAAATAAGGTGGAGATACGAATGTGGGGGAGCACCGAAATTGTTGAGGATACGGATTTGGGGGTGTACCATGAAAGGTGTCAAAAGGAATATGGTATGACACACGTATATATGGTAATGTGTGTCACCATCCTTACACTATATCTTGTTATTGTTTTTGGTGAATTTACTAATGAAGCATAAATACTTTTTCTTGGTGTTTCTTTTAAATATTCATACAATATGTGCAATATTTCATTCACAGGTAATTTTTGATTAGCAAATACAGTATTTTTAAATATCGAAAATGATTTTCTACATCCTTTTTTCTTACACCTATATAATTTTAATTTATAATATACACCTAGTTCACCATCATCACAATATTCACATTTAGTTTTTAATGATAAATAATCTTTTTGAAATAAATATTCAATAGCTTTTTCTTCGTCTATAAATATATCATGTAAGTTTTTATATGCTTCAATATTAAAAATATTATCTAGAGCTTTTTGCTTATATACAATTTTTTCTTCATTTACTATTTTTTTTAATTTTTCCTTTTTTTCCTTTTTTTTGGTTCTTTTAACATTTTTTAATATATTACGTTCTTTTGCACTAACATCATCAATACACCAATTTTCATATTTTAATATTTGACCATATTCTAAATTATTTTTCATAGTTCTATTTATATTTATCATATTTTTCATAGATTTTTGTGATAAAAGGAGATGTTTTGATTTCATTTTGAACTGTATTAATAATAAAAGTAAAATAAATAATAATAATAATTTTTTATTAAAGAAATAAAATTAGTTTTATATGTAAAAGTATGCAACCCTTATTTTTTTGTGTAACAATATTAAGGAGGTGGTTTATTTTAAAATTTTCATATTATTGAGCAACGTTAATAATTAAATGTATTGCTCTTTAATTATAAACTTTTAAGTTTATTCTAAATATATTAATAAAATATATTTAAATATTCTAAAAGAAAATAATGTTTATTTTGCAAATAATATTATTTTTGCTAATAAGAATATTTTTTCTATCCACATTTGAAATATTTCCTGTTGCAACTTATAAAATTTAAATTTTAACGATTGGTAGTCAATATTTCTTTCACATTAATTTTTGTTTAAAAAGTAACAAAAAAACCAAAGAACTTATCTTTGGAAACAGCACTGCCGTAAGTTTTTTTGCAACTTACGCAGATATTTTATTCCCCCTAAACATAAAATTATTTAACAATATAGGATATTGTGTAATTATAATTTTAATACTATTTGAAACGTTTCTCATTATAATTTTGATAAAAATAGTTTGTCAGCTATCTTACCCTTTTACCAATTATTGTTTTAATTTGTCTGACCAAATCCATATAAAAAGTCCGATATCCATATCTATAGTTGCTATCTATATATTGCAATATATCTACAGATATTAATAAATTAGTGCTATATAGACTAGTCTGCTTACCTTTTCCTTTGCTGCCGAACCCATCCACGGAGCTGATACCACTACACATTGCACCGCACGAGTCAAAAAGAGAGACGACAGCTTGGCCGAGCGGTTAAGGCGTAAGACTCGAAATCTTATGGGCTATGCCCGCGCAGGTTCGAGTCCTGCAGCTGTCGGTTTTATGTCGGGAGATGAACTTCCCTCATCTTTTCCAAAATGATATCAAGTGCTGCGCACGGCCGCAGGCCCGCTTTTGGAATACTTGAAGAAGTACCACCCTTTTCCGGTGTCGGCGTAAATCACATTTGGGATTGATCGTTTCACGACATGTCCTATTTAGCTTTTGTTCAAGAAGCCTTCCATATTCATCTTCTCACCGAACGCATAATTGTGCCATTACCTTTTCCTGTCCTTTCCCGTTGCCTTCATTACATACCTTCCTTTTCCACGTCACATCCGTCCATTGTCCCCTTTCATATCTTCACCGAATCCCCACAGTATAAATAACCCCGAGGTCATCATGAATAAAAGAGTATCTTATCCACCCTCTTCTATCTTTCCACAATCCACCTGGCCTTGTGCTATACAGCCAAAAGGATTCCGACACAGCCAAAATGAATCCGACGGGCGGAAAAGAGGAGGGGAGTTCAACTCCCGGCACAAGAAGGGAGCCGGGAAATGTAGGGTCCAGTTGCGGCCAGTGTGGATTGAACACACGACCTTTAGATCTTCAGTCTAACGCTCTCCCAACTGAGCTATGGCCGCAGTACTTGTTTTTAACAAATCTATAATCAATCCTCCGGCCAAGCTAGAACGTGACTCTCCTCTTCCTCTGCGAGTTGACGTCAGCCTCTTTGTGTTCTCTCACTCTTCCCTTTTATGGGAGTACTCTTTATACTTCCATTTCGGGTAGTGTTGTCTTTGCCCGTATTTATTAATTAATTTCGCCTTGCTTCCCTTCTTTTCTCTGATCGCTCATATACGATCAGAATAACCTTTAATTTTATTTCTGCTTTCCTTCTTTGTCTTTATTTTTCGTTTCTACTGTTTTCGACTTAGATGAAAAATCATTCGTATCACACTTGGAAGGTCATGGCTAAGATATAAAAGAGCCAGACCGACCAAGTGAAATAAACATCTTATTGTGATCATATTTTATTGTCCCTCGGATTGAAAGGTTGATTTGGACTGTACACGACGAACTGTGTACGGCGACCTGGATTTCTTATTCCTTATTTTATTTCATTCTATTTTCCTTACCTTTTTCCTTTGCTCCCGAACCCATCCACGGAGCTGATACCACTATATTTTGCACCGCACGTGTCATTTTGACACGTGACGTGTGCAGTTTACTGGCCACGCTCACGGAGCCCCCAAAACCGATTTCACACTCTTTTTCCTCCATTCCTTACATCAAAAGTATTTATTAAGTGCGTGGAACGACGTCTCGTAGGCAGTGGGAGAGTGATTCTCTCCAGAAGGATGCCCTATTTCCATGCAGTATGACAATTCGTTTTCCGACACGACCAGATTCATTGGTCCACCCTAACACGTACCCCAGCAATCTTGCCACCCTATTCCTTTCCCGCAATTGAGTTCTGTCACCTTAGTTTCCCTTTTTCACCATTTTTTCCCTTCCGCACCTATGAGTTACTGTCACACACCTTGTCACTTGCCCTTTAAAAAGAGGTGCAAACTACCTTATAATTTTTATCTATCTTATTCTTGATCACTTTATTCATTTTTTGAATACACCCTTTTCCTTCTTTATTTCTTGGACCTCGTAATTGGTGTGATAAACCATCACCTGTCGGGTGAACTCGTCTTTGTGAAAACGGTCTATACACGCAGCTGTGTCCAATCATTGAGACGGTTGCTCATCAAGAACGTCCTGAATCCATCATTTACAATTCAGACATTAGTCTGATTTGTATTTAAAGAAAAGAGCGCTACTGCGGTTTCACCTGCACAATATCATTGGCAGTGTCTCTTACCAAGAAGTGTCTGAATAATAATTTATCTCAGGAACCTCCGTTCCTAATTAAACATGGACATCGTCACAGTGGATTGGTTCTAATCACTCCGTCCTCTGAAACATCGTCAAATCTATAAAAGACGTACATAGATCATAAGCGGATAGGGCAATCAATTCTTTACTTTTATTTTCCAGTAAAGACCAGTCTCACGTATTCCTTTTGTTATCTGTTCTACTTTGCCTACATCACAATTGGTATTTTGGAAGACGTGCGCCTCGTTGGGAGAGCTGCAGTACATAACGAATTGTTAAGAAGACCGTAACGGGAGCCTTATCCGAAGCCTGCCCGTCAGAGAACCCTTTTTCTACAAACAAACCACTACACACAGCGATCAACTCGCAAAACCCATATCCTACACCAGGATACGTGCAAAAACTCACACAAAACCACACACCACACGTGTCAGTTTTTGACAAATCTATAATCAATCCTCCGGCCAGGCTAGGCACGTGACTTCCCTTCGCCTTGTCCCTTGACGTCAGACGCCGGTGTCCTCCACTTTTCCCTTTTTGCGTAACCATTCTTTATACTTCCATTTTTGGGAGTGTTGTCTTTTCTCGGGACTTATTGTTTAATTTCACCTTCACTTTACTTCTTCTTTCTGATCGTTCACATACGATCTTATTTATCTTTTAATTTCATTTCTGCTTTCCCTTCTTAGTCCTTATTTCTTATTTCTGCCCTTTTCAATTTAGATGAAAAACCACCCTTTTAATTATTGGAAGGTCATGGCTACAATATAAAAGACCCAGACCGACCAAGGAAAATAAATCATCTTGTGATCACATATAGGGTTTCTGAAAAATAACCGAAAACCGAACCGAACCGAAAAAACCGAAAAGTTTCGGTCGGTTCTGGCGAAAACCGAAACCGAACCGAACCGAACCGAACCGAACCGAAAACCGAAAACCGAAACCGGAAGCGGAAAACCGAGAGTTCACAGAAAGAGTGACGTTATATGGAAGACACAAGCTTGCTATGAATATATAATCATGATGTATGGACGCGCCCTATCTTCATTTAGATGGATGGATATGATTTATGGATGGATGCAACATTTGCGTGTGCAGATTGGATGGATGGATATAAATTGGCGGATGCACCATGCCATGAATTGTCAATCTTCAGGGTGCTGATTTTATTTGTCAGTATTGAAAATCAAAATTGAGGACGTCGGTTGAGCGTTACGGAGCGTAGTCTCTGGCATTGCAGGGTGTCTAGGCACAGGTTCAACTCGTGCCTCCTCGCAATTTGCGGGTTTAACTGCTGACCAATGGGAGAGCCTAGATGTGGATATACAAGCTACACTTTTATGTGCATTTATTGATTTTTTTGTATTTATGTTATCGTATGCTGCTGTTATATCAGGTATACTTTTGAATAGCTCTGGTAACTTTTTTTCCTAATGATAACGTTTGTCTTGAATATAAAATCAAACGGAACCTCAAACATGAAGTCTATATTTTATACAATTATAAATGTTATCGTAGCCATATAGTACGATATTAAAAAAGCTCCTTGGCGTATACTCTTCTTGGCGAACTTCCAATATACACCAAAGACTAGGTTTTTCTTTGTTAAATAAATATTATATCAGAAGTTTATCCATGGACTAACGTTTAGAGAAATATATATATATATATACTGTATAGAAAGCTAAAGTGTTTTGAGATCAAAGCAACATTATACTTACCACGTTACCTGAAGTAATACAGTTCCGTCATAGGAAAATCCAGAACCTAGTTTAAGACCGGTAAATATCATATCATAAAGTTGGCATAATATATAACCAATGCAGATGACCGTGTATGCGAGTAACCAAGACAAAATTTGTTAAAAACTTATCAATATCCTTTATGATAGCTGAATATTTGGAAGATAATAAGGAAAAAATGGACAGAAAAACGAAGTAGAAGAGAAAAAGAAGGAAGAAAGAAAAAAAAGAAAGGAAAAAAAAGGACGAGAAAAGAATAAGAGAGAGGGAAGTCTATTCAAGACTAAGCTTCATCCACGAGTCCGTTAGCATCAGAATCCGAATTTTCTCAGAAGAGAGCCGATTGCGCGTATATGGTAAGATCAGCCGAGCAGCAGAAAAGCAGCGTTCCGAAGGTGTCGACGTGGCGGGGATGGCAAGGTGGTGTTTAGCCATGAGTGATAGCTGCGGCCAATGGAGAAGTTGGCCCTTCCAGAAAGACAACTCCAGGTCTGGCACCGCATTGGGAAGAGTATAACCGGCAGTGGTGTACTGATTTAGATGGTCTTGCTCAAGAGGGCTGCCAGCTGTGATACCATAAGAGGCAAATTCGTCCATCATTTCCGGGTTTTGATCGTGCACCGCAACAGGGTCACAGCGGTATTCCTCCCAAGCACTAAGAACATGACCCTTGCAAACCTCAACCCATGTCGGCTCCCAGCGATTGACGGTCCACCAATGGAAACGAGCACGTGGGTCCATGGCCGTAGCCACCGAGTACAGGTGCGTGTCGTCAGTCCTTCCATAGTACTTCACGAGAACCTCCCGGCCAAGGTCGGCAGCATTGCGTAGCTGTTCGTGATTACCAGTATTGTCGCGAAAATCCTCAAGATGGTCCATCATACGATTATATGAAATCACTGTACGGCTGATTGAGATATATGGGTAGGGGAAAATAGAAGTAAAATGAAGAAAGGTAAGAAAAGGTAACAGAATGAGTCTGTGAGAATGTGTATAGGTTCTTTATAAGAAAGGTAGTTGTCAAGAAATCAACTAAAGCTACTTGGGTTCTATTTTCTACCCTTTATATACACTTCTTGATATCATGTTTAAGTGCCCTGATCTGGGTACTCGGTCTAGTACGAACCAATCGGTTATTGAGTGAGTAATTCGGGTATTTCTGGATTGATCTAGGTCATGGTCCATCACCATGTTCAATATCAGGCACCAATGTTATTGACGTGTCAAGTGTGATAATCAATGCTAAGGAAGTGAAACCTGCTAATTCAGGTACCCTGTCCTGGTGCTAATCTAATAACGGATGCTGACCTCACTTAGCGTGGGTAGTTGACTAACCGTTGCTATCTCAGATGTACTTGTCTCGGGAATACTATTTTATTTTTATTCTGGACCATTTGCCTCGGTATTATTATTAGGCAAGAGAGAT